CCACCCACCCGCCCCTCCACCTCTCAGCTCCCCCCTCTTGGTCGCAGCACACCGCGCTTTGGCCCGCGCAGGGTTCGAGATGACACGAGATGACACGAGATGACACGAGATTGCCAGCTGGCCCGCGTAGGGTTCGAGTACGCCGTCGAAGGCAAGAAGTCCCGCTGCAAGCTCTTCAAAGGCCCCATCCTCTCGACGCTGCCCGTCGGCGGCGTGAGCTGCTACAAGAAGGCGTCCAAGACGGAGCTCGGGCCGCACAAAAAGCGGCTCTAGTGAGGCCGTCAAGGGCGACCTCAAGCCGCCCTCCTTCTTCTCGCTGCGCGGACTCGATCATGAACATCTCGCACGAGTAGACCCTCTCGCTTCCCCTCGGGGGAGTCCAGTCTGATCGGGGAATTGCCACACGTCCGCGTAAGCTTTCCAGGCGCGGCAGACTTTGCATGCTCGTCCCATCTCCACATCTTCGGAGGTCATACCGGCCTGGGGGGGGGCGTTGGAATGCGGAGATAGTAACTACTCTCTGTGGTGCCCTCTAGGCACTTTACTCCTGTCCCGCGTGGCTCTGTGTCTCACATGAGTTTCTTCCCTCGATTGTGTCACACGCGGGGAGGGGGTCGCTTTCTGTTCTGCATTTGTCCGCGCGCGGCTCGCGCTCTGCTTGCGGAACCTTGATATCACGCATAGCGGGAAAGATGCCGACGAGGACGACGAGGACGACGAGGACGAGGACGAGCGTCCGACACGGCGGCGTTTGTGAAAAACATTGTGGTACTCGACGAGATGTCTATGAAAAAAATTGTTGATATCATTCTACGTGCTTGCCGTGTCATCCGACGTCGACGGTGAAGAGGTTGAATCGGTCTTGTAGACACATCGCTTACTCGTCACACACGTCCGGCACCGGCGCTCGTAGTTGCACGTTTTGATACTCTCCTTCCATCGAAAATCATGACACGGTTTGGTTTGTTGACAAACACGACAAATTTTAAGGTGGTTCTTGAGAGTATGTGCATGTGCATGTGCATGTGCATGTGCATGTGCATGTGCATGTGCATGCGCATGACATGTGCATGTGTCATGCACACATGCATGTGCATGTTGTGCATGTAACGTATGTGAACAACACCCTATGTGTGGTGATTGTAATGGGTTCCACCCTGTGTGGTGATTATGATGGGTTCCACCCTGTGTGGTGATTATGATGGGTTCCACCCTGTGTGGTGATTGTAAATGTGAACCGTTACAATCGGGGTCGCATGCGTCCCCTGCCGTTCGTCCTCGTGGCGGTGCTGGCGTGCGCGAATGCTCAACATTCGCGCGGCACCGACCACGCGGCTCTCAAGTGCGCTGCGCACGCTGACGATGGTGTCGATCTCGTCGTCTGCGAAGCTCGGCAGCAACCACCTCAACAACACCCGCTATATGAGCCAGCCCTGCACATCTCAACCTACACCAACAGCACAGCTGGAATCATGCCCGTCGGTGGCCGAGTGGCTGCCGGATCGAATCTCGACGCCTCGGCCCATGCTCTCGCGCGCTCCTCCTCCTCCTCCTCTGGCGGCGGCGGCGGCGGCGGCGGCGGCGGCGGCGGCGGCGGCGGCGGCGGCGGCGGCGGCGGCGGCTGCTGCTGCTGCGAAGATTCTGGCTCAGCGACAATGCCTTTTACCCCTGACTCCAACCTCGCCGCCGCCGTCGTCTCCTACCTCGCCAACCTCGCCACCGCCGCCGTCGCCTACGGCTCCAACTGGGCAGTATCCCTCGCCGAGCCACCAGTACAAGCACAACCAGCTCTACAAGAACGACGACGACGACGACAACGACCACGACGACGACGACCACCAGCACGACAACAATCACGACCAGGACGTCTAGCAGCTCTACTACAAGCAGCATCAGACGCACAACAATAATCAGAACTAGATCATGCTGATCCTCCTGCT